TTTCCACAAGTGTCAATTGCTTTAACCCACACTGTGATGATTTTCACAAAATTGCGTTTATATTTTTAGAGGTTTGGCATTCCCAAAGGCGCCCTTAGGTCTTTGTTACGGGCAAAACACACATATTCGTACTGATTTCTTGATGCAGAACTATTGGGAGCAGGACTATTTTTATAAGAGAATGAAAAAATGAAAGAATGATGGCATAACAAGAGAGAGAGCAAATTTTCATTTAGTGATTTGATGGGGGAAATAAGAGCAAGGGGCTACTTATTTGTCTACTGGCATGCATAGAAACTCAGAAAGAAATTTCAAGTTAGTTGCCTTCAATATATTCATGTTATGTTCTCTAACTTTTTCTTCTTCCTGCTAGAAGACTCCAGTATTATCGAACACTTAAAGTTTGATAGAGAAAAAGCCCTCTCTGTGATGAGATATTTTTAAACTTACATTGAACGTTACCGAAATAACACCCTTTAAGAAGGCTCCCTGAAGCATAAATGGCATTTATAGAGTTTTCTTCTCATTTGAATTGGTAGCTGTAACTTGAATCCTAGCTTCCCTATTCGATCAAAATAAGACAAAGCATCATAACCTTATAACTTTCAAGTTTCTTTTCCTAGCAAATTTGAATATTACTGACTGTACGAATTTCCCTTCGCATTTCAAAATAATCCAAACTCCTGTACATTTGGTAAATAGGTGTTTCAAGTTTAATACCAATTTCTGTCAGGTTCCCTTCTTCTTAAATGATAAACAGATGCAAACCATTCCAAAAAGGAGAAAGTCACCAATTGCTTCCATTTAACTGCATCTAATAGTTCCTGATCTTAATGCATGTTAAAAATGTGACTTACTTTTTTTTAATATGATGTTAATACATACTAATGCGCTTTAGCCTGCATTCACAAGTTAAATTGGGTGCAGGTCTGCGATTCAGTTTATTCGGAAGAGATTGCTTCTTGGCCGTACACTTCTTCTTGTTTTTTGGAGTCATGACTAGCAATTGGCATCATCAACATATTGCCTTACAGTTTTTGTTTTCTGATCACTACTTATGGCCTCAGTAGCACAATTTTCCGCTGCATTATGTTTTCTCTGACTCATCCAAATCATTTAGAATCTGGACCATATTGGAATGAAACATTTTCTATATTGCAGAATGTTTTCTGTTGGGTCCACTTTTTTACCGGACTGATTGGTTTCTTCCATTCCATTCATGGCGCCTCTATACCCAGACCAACAAGCAGTGGGCAAATAATTTTCTAAAGGTTGTATTTTCTTTTTTCTTTTTGCTGTCAGATGCTTTTCTATTGAGGAAATACATTACTCTTATTCTTCAATGTTCATTAATTTGAAACTGATAAAATATTAGATGTGTCGCATTAAGCATAAAAAAGGATTCAAAAAAAACGAGGAAAAAAGAAAAAAAAGAAAGAAGACATGCTCTGGGAACATGTAACTATCAAAATCTTTTGCAAGGATTCCATATTTTTTTATCTCCTTGTACCTTGTTATTTTTCATTACCATTAAAGGCCTTTCTCTAGGATAAACTGTTGAGAAGTCTTTTTCCTTTATTCTTGACAATCAAATTTTTGATTTCCTGATTCATTCTTCTTCCAATTTGAAGTTCTTGAGACATTGTCCTCCCTTCCCTCTACTGCCATTACAATATTCAGTACATCTGTTTTAAACGAGCCGGGTTGTTGAGGAAGCTTTGAATTTCTAATATCACTCCATTACGAGGATTTTCATTATGGTCATCAAAATTCATCATGAAGTTCACATAGTTCTGGTTTCATATCAGCCAAAGTCATTTTACTTTGATCTTCTTTTAAATAGTTTCAATACTGTGGAAATTTTTCCTAGATATTAGATCAAAGTTTTTGTATTGATGATTAAGAAAGACATTTCTAGAACATGTACAATTATTCCTTAGGAAAATTGCCTGTTGTGCATGTTTTCTAAAACCTATCAAAACCATACTAAATTTTCACTTGTTTGTTACTGCTCAACGATAGATGAAATTTCCTTATTAAATGAGTAATTACTGACTTCATTGGAGTATATTTCTGCGGTTTGCCTGTTATTGTCTTTTTCGCAACACACTAGATTTATAAGAGCCATCTTTACTTGCTTTTTTATTATTTTTGCAGAATTTCTTCAAATATCACCTGGCGTTTTGCTTTGCTGATGGGCTGGTCTTCCTGCTCTTCTGCGACAAGGGATGAAAGATAAAATCTAGTGATTGGCAGTTTTTGATTTTGGAATGGTTACTGGTGCCCTCAATTTTGTTTATCTTGCATTGAGTTACTGTCTTTCTCCATTGCCTTTTTTACTATATTAATTTTTCGTTGATTAAGATGCTTTTCTTTGGGAGTTAACTGGAATAGGAAGTGAGCCTAACATAATAGAGGGGTAGTTTTTCCCTTTTCCCTTAAAACCTCTTCTTCATGGAACCTGAAGATCTTCTGATGGAAATCTATCTTTAACCAATGGTGTTCCCTTGTAAACTATTAATAGATTTTACTGGTGCTTAAGTATTACTCTGAAAGAAAATGTTGATTTTGTTGTTACTTTTGCCCGAATTTTTTTATTCAATAATCACATAGGAAATAGCTTACAACTCTTATTTTATACCTAGGGATCTATGTAAAATTTCTATTCTACCCTTTACACTTAACATTGGGCTCATAGAATAATAAAAAAAAACTAATATACACAGACACAGAAAAAGCTCTCGGCTTTTTGGAAGGTTCTTGGGATTGAATTCAAGCTGTATCTTTTCATGCGGATGACCAACATTGTTAAACCTTGCATCACTTACAAAGTGATCTTTGGTGTAGTTTTGTCTTTGAATCTGTCTCATCTTTTAGGTGAAATGTTACTTGTCCCTTGCATATTAGCATACTCAGGACTGTCAATTATATATGTGAGCCATCTGTGACTTTGGTGTTTGTAAGGATTTGAGATATATAACGGGGGAAAAAGAAAAAATGAAGTAATAAAGGAACTCGAAAACGAAATGTGTTCATTTGGAAATAGCAGTGGTATATGCAGGTACAGAAACCATGCATGTGCTCTCTTTCCTTTTTAGTGCCACATAAAATTAAAAAATTAATCAAACTCTACCACATCTTCTAAGGTGATATCGTGAGTTCAGGAGCTTGCTTGAGGATTTGTGATTTGTGGCTAAAAGCGCTAGAATTAAACCTTTTATTTTAATAGCCATCATTACAACTTTGAACAGGGAATTATCTCTAAATTGTTCCAAATTTTTTTATTAGCATTTTATTTGCACAAATTTAAAATTTCGACAGGCTGCTTTGTTTTAATTTTAGTTGTGTATATCCCTACTTCTCTGTGAAAGAAACAACAGTTTTTACTGTGTGTGCATTTTCATTTGCATCAAGCTTAATTCTGACATTTATGGCCTCTAGTATAGTTATGCTATGAATGCACAAAATGTTCTGTTTCTTTCATTCACCTGCTGCCTACTCTCTTTCTAGTGGTCTGGGGTGATGGGGAGGGCTGAATTTAAGAAGACAGGAGAAGAGAGAGAGAGAGAGAGGGGTAGGTGGGGGGAGGGGAAAAAGAGGGGGTATTTGGTCTTAGGATGTGGGTCGTTTACTGATTTAGGTCTGTCCTTCAATCTCAATATCTCATTTCTTACATGAAGCTGTATTAGTGGGAAGCTCTATGACCACAAGTGTGCCATTTCCATACTTTTAAGAGTCAAATTCAACACTGAAAAGTTTTTTGTGGACCGATGAAATTTCAAGAACAAAGCTTATCATATTCTTTCTACTAAGAATTAATAAATTATAGAATGTATGTATCCATGACTTAAGCTTTTAAAGGATTATTTAAGGAAACCACTCTACCTAAACACTTTTAATCTATTAATTTGGACACTTCTTTGAATAGTTTTTATCTCGACAGTTTCTTTTAACAAATTTAAGTTATAATTAATTTTCTTACAGTTTCTCTTAATGCCATGTTTAATGAAAATGGAATATCACCTGATATTAATATTCTTGCTTGTGATAGAGCATTTGGTTTACTTTCTCCTGGACAATTGGCGCTGCGAACGTTATTGCCTTTTCACAAATTTACTCCAGTTACAATTTCAAGCAGTAACTGGAGGATGTTTTTAGAAATCTCTGCACGTTTCTTCTTCAGGCTATTCAGAGGCCCCTTATTAATTCTCAATCAGAGCTGTTTCACTTGATTTTGATGAAGATATAGATGTGCAAAAACAGAAAGAAAGCGGGTACTTTCAGGGTCTGTTGAATAATGCCATCTTACTTGCGTAACTCAGAAGTATTTTTTTCTCTGGCTTTGATGGGCATTTATACTAAAGTAATGGTATACTACTATCAGCATTCTCTTTTTAACATTTGTCGGCCATTTTAGGTGTATCCTGAGGAAAACATGGCAGAAAAGTTGCTGTGCGGTTCGTTGACTTCTCAGTTCAACCAGGGGAATGTTTTTGGGCTTTTTAGGGAACTAACGGAGCTGGAAGACAACTACTCTATCAATGTTAATACCTTGCGTATGCAATTTTGATTGTGCTGACCAAGAATATAATGATCTCGCATATATGAGAATCCCAACTTTCCTAATTTTTTGTCTGCCTTTTTTAGATTGTAACACTTTTGTTGAAAAGCATTGTTTATTGGAAGACCCAATTCTTTTTACACTGAAAAAAATTGGTGATAGTTTTGATTATATCACTGAAAATCATACTAGACCTATTTTTTTGTTCAAAAATTAGGTTGAAAAGAACTTGTGTTTGTCCTTTTTCAATTGTTGCAGGAGAAAGAATTTCCAACTGATGGAACTGCTTGTTATTTTGGCAAAAGATATACGTTTCAGATCCCAAGTCTGTCCCGTCCAGCATGTATTGCTTTAAGCTCTTATATCAAAACCATCTGTTTTTACTATGGAATTACGAAAAATCTAGCTCACTTTGTGTTGTATCAATTCACAGCAGGATTTGGATATTGCCCTCAGTTTGATGCTCTCTTGAATTCTTAACTGTCAGAGAGCATCTTGAGCTTTATGCGAAGAATAAAAGGAGTTGTATTACAGGGTGGATAATGTATGTGTAACATTGAAGTTCATTAATTACTGTTATCTTTGAGTTCGGTGATAAAATTCTTTTAAAACTTGCTGCCTGAAATTTGGGCGTTCATACTTCAACATGTGTTAAATCTGCCTTGGACTTGATTCATCAAAGGTTTGGCCAGCGTATTTTTTTTTTGCTGCTTTGATAGTTTTAGTGAATTTTGGTAAATTGATGTAAACAAGCACATTCGGATCAAGTTGCTGATGCATAAACCTCCATCCCCCCCCCCCCCCCCCCCCCGGTCTCCCTATGTCATGTGCTCCACTGCTGCTTGCATTTTGAGTTTGTGCATGACTGATCTCCAATGCATCTACTTTCTGAGCAGGTTGTGATGGGAAAGTTGTGGAATTCGACTTGTTGAAGCATGCCGATAAACATCATTACCGGCTTAGTGGGGGAAACAAAGCGGAAAAAATTATCTGTTGCAATTGCAATGATCGGGGATTCCTCCCAATAGTAAAATTCTTGATGCACGCCATCTACAAGAAGCTAAGCATGCTGATCCTTCTCTGAGTTACCTCAGTTTCAAGGCGAGAAAAAAACAGACAGTAACAAGGAAAAAGAAGGCAACATAATTGCGTATTCTCCTGTGGACATGCATTTTTTTTTTTTTTAATTTCAGTATTTCCTTATCAGCAGGTTCTACAACTATCATATATCAAGAACCTGTTATCATTGCCTTCTAGTATTTTGTTAAATCTGTAGGTTAGAAGATAAATTCTAGAATTTAATGCAAGCGAGATGGGGGCATAGAAACGTTGTTAAGCTATAGTCAAAGCATCCTTCAAAAATGCAAGTGACCAAAAATAGTATTAAAAGTGATCACAGTACGGCAACCATCAATTCTACAAGAAAGTTCAATCAGTTTACTATCCTCTTCAAAATGATCCACACCATATAATTATTGACAGTAAACTGTTACTCCAGCTTCAGCTCTTGTTTTTCCATGGCTATAGATGCATAGAATCTCAAACTAATGACTTGAAAGGCACACATCCCTCCATCTATATATTTAAGATTCTGGAAGTCTTCAAAAAAACAATTTCCCAATTTACATGACTTTATATATGCATAATTCTACAATATTATATTAATTTGGCTAACTATTATATTTAGAAAACAAGAACCTCCTGGAGGTTCACAACAAGGTCTAGAAGCCTCAACATAATCAATCCAGTGAGCTCAACCTCAACTGAATCGTCTATGATCCCAAAGGAGTTAGGCGGTTTGGCTATAATAGATCCTATTTCCTCCAATACTACCCTGCTTTTAGGGCTATGTGCTAAGGCACTGCTAAAATCCTTTTTCACTGTTTTATCCTATTGTCATTGTATGTCTACATTAAACTTCCTTTCTCCTGCAAGTTCAATGTTATATTCTTAACCTACAGATTTTAACAAAATACTAGAAGCATGAATGAACAGTTCTGATATATATATGTAGAAACTGAAAGGAAATTACCTGACAATTTTTAAAAAAAAAAAAAATGCATCTTGTCCCACAGGAGAACCAATTATGTTCGCCTTCTTTTTTCCTTTATACTTCTCCTTTTTCTTCCCTAAAAACTGGACGGTACTCAGAGACAGGATCAGCATGAGCTTACCTGTTAGATCGGCTCATAAGAATTACTATTGGAGGATCCCGATCATTGCCAATTGCAACAGATAATTTTCGCTTGTTCCCCCCAGCTAAGCGTAAATGCATGGTTATCGGATGCTCTCAACAAGTCGAATCTCCACCAACTTCCAATCAACAAACCTGCTCAGAAAGTAGATGCATTGGGAGATCAGTTCATGCAACAAACTCAAAAAATAGCAGCAGCAGCTGAGAGCACACTGACATAGGGAGGACCCCGGGGGGGGGGGGGGGATGGAGTTTCATGCCATTCAGCAACCTTGATCCGAATGTGGCTGTTTACATCAATTACCAATTCACTCAAAACTATTTCCAAAAGCACAAAAAAAATTACGCAGGGCCAAACTTTGATGGAATCAAGTCCAATGCAAGTCATTTAACCATCATGTTGAAGTATGAACGCCAAAATTTTTCAGGCAGCAAGTTAAGAATTATCAACGAACTAGAAATACAGTAATTATGAAACTTCAAAATGTTACACATACATTATTCCACCCTGTAATCTACAACTCCTTTTTATTCTTGCATTAAAGCTCAAGATGCCTCTCGGACAGGTTAAGAATTTCCAACGAGAGCATCAAAAACTTGAGGGCAATATCAATCTGGCATGTGATGATACAACACAAAGTGAGCTAGATTTTCAGTAATTTCATAGTTATAAAACAGATGGTTTGAATAAGAGCTTAAAGCATACATGCTGACGGACCAGGGACTTGGGATGGCTGAACGTTATATCTTTTGCCAAAAAAGAACAGAGGCAGTTTTCCATCCAGTTTGGAAATTCTTCTCCTGCAACAATTGAAACAAGGACAAAACAGATTCTTCAAACCTAATTTTGAACAAAAAATAGGTCTTCTAGTATGATTTTCCAGTGATTAATCAACTCATCACCAATTTTTCCGTGTAAAGGAAATTGGGTCCCTTCCAATAAACAAATGCTTTCACAAAGTGTTACAATCTAAAAAGGCAGACAAAAATTTATTGAAAGTTTTGAAATTCTTCATATATGCAACATTTATAGCTTGGGTCACACCATTCATTGCCATACCAGATAACATTGATAGAGTAGTTTGTCTTCCCAGCCCGTTTAGTTCCTAAAAAGCCCAAAACATTCCCCTGGTGTGAACTGAGGAAAGGTCAAACGAACGTACCAGCAACTTTTCTGCCATGTTTTCCTCCAGGATACACCTAAACATGGCCGACAAATGTTAAAAAGAGAATGCGATGTAGTATACCATTACTTTAGTATAAAATGCCATCAAAGCCCAGAGAGAAAAAAATACCTTCTGAAGATTACGCAAGTAAAGGATTGGCATTATCAACAGACCTGAAATTACCCGCTTTCTTTTCTGTTTGCACATCTATATCTTTCATCAAAATTCAAGTGAAAACGCTTTCTG